TTCTTCTTATTATATTGATTTATGCTGGGGATTTAAGTTGCGTACTCGATCTCCTTAATCAAACATCAGCTTGCATTTTCTAAAAAACATTCTTGAAGTTAATAATAACACTCATATACTCTGTGTGTTTTGCTGTGATGGTCTAAAACTGTAATATAGGCTTAATTATCCCTGTTTTTAAATCACGGAACAAATTCAGTCTGAAGGTCTGTGAGAGTTTATCACTCTCTCTTCCCCAGGATCAAAAGCGAGTGGAAAAGGTATCAAAGCGAGTGAACGCCATCCAGGAGGTGAAGGAGAGCGTCAGCCTGCTGAGCCAGCTGCTGGAGGGCTACAGTAAGGAGAGCTGCTCCCAGAGCAACCAGGAACTCATTAAGGTGAGCACAGCTCAGCACATAACATGCTTCAGCTACAGCCTCATGATCGGCCTGGGACTGTTCAGTGGATGTGAGATTTTAGGGTTTTAACGTGGTTCTAATTTCAGGATCTGTACCAGCGCTGTGAAAAAATGAGACCAACACTTTTCCGATTAGCCAGCGATACGGAGGATAATGACGAAGCCCTGGGTTCGTGGCTAGTTTGTGGAATCATATAAAAAATAATTGTATATTTCCATTCTGATTCACTCCAGAGAATGACTAGATAAGCACTCTGATGTTGTTCATTCATTTCTGCTTACAGCGGATATATTACAGGCCAACGACAGCTTGACACAGGTCATCAATCTGTACAGACAGCTGGTAAAGGGGGAGGAGATAACAAAAGAGGAAACAACGATGCCCTCACAACCAGGTAGGTCCATGTTTTTTTAAAGTCAGTGGGATTTGGCCTCCATTAGCTTTTATAGATATGTAACGTATTCGCCAAACCTTTCTGTAGAGTATAAGGATATTTTCTGTCCAAATCAGGCAGCAGTAGCTCAGCACTCGTAGACCTGATGGGGCTGAACTCATCAGCCAACCCAGAGCCCTCCAACCTACAGACCCTGACTCAGAACGTGGGTATCAGCCTCTTGGATGATGAACTCATGTCTCTGGGTAAGTTCCAGCTCATTGCTTAGAAAAAAAACCCTCATCTGGCTCACTGAACATTTTTAACAAGCTTGGAAAGGTAAAGTCAGCATTATTTCTTTCTTTCTACTGGCCGGGGTGAAGGCCGCTTGTTTGCGAGCTGGCTTATACCCAGCATCCTCAGGGGCACACTTGGCCAGACCACAACAAAGCTTGACACATTTCCAGCCTGTTAATAATTAACCTTTCACAAATTCTGACATAAGCACTGATGTTTTTTATTGTGTTGTAAATCATTTTTCAGCAGAAGTTTGTGTAAACCACCACGAAATATGCGATCAAATGTACTTAACCTTTTTTATTGTTCTTGTGTTCTTAGGATTGAATGTAACGGAAAACTACGACTCCCAGAACTCCTTTCAGGTGCAAGTTTAAAGCTTTAATACATTTATGCCAGTATTTGTAGGAGCTGAAAATTGTACCTTTGGTGCCACCAAGTAGAATTATTACAAACTACAAATATAACAAAAGATATGCTATAATTATGACATATATATATACACTGTATATATACATTGATAAAATAATATTCTACAAATTGTGGCTTTAAAGCAGATGTTGATTTGATTCTCAAAACATTTAATATCATCTCCTCCCTCTTACAGCCCCTGACACGCAAACTAACCCTCTTTTTTCCTCATCAGTCCTCTGATAGCACAGAATCAACTGCACCATCGGCAGTGTTGCTACCAGCTGTGGTCCAGACACAGCATGCTCCGCCAGCAGGGGGCTCCACTGCTCCTCCTAAAGCCATGGAAGAGCTGGATCTGCTGGGGAAGACATTAATGCAGCAGTCCCTACCTCCAGAGAGCCAGCAGGTCAAATGGTAAGAGACGCACGGAGAGATGTGGAGTTTATGATCTAGATTTGTCTGATGCATGTATGACTGTGTCAATGCCAGGAATCGAACTCAACGGGTGGGACTTGTAACTGTAGTGGACAAACGTGTTTCATGGTCCTCTACACTCCTGATCATGTTGCTGTTACACACAGGGATAAGATCCAACCTCAGTCCAGAGTCACTTTACGAGATCTCCAGACCATGTCCACCTCCAGCTCTAGACCTGCTCCCCCTGCAAACACCACCTCCTCTGCTCCAGGGCCCACGTCCGGCCTGTCTGTCCAATCAGAGCAGCCCGACGCTCTCTTTCTCTCGAATCTCAGTCTCACAGCTGCTGAAAAGGGCTCATCGGCTGCTGGCGACCTCTATGACAGCATCTCTCTAAGTGACGTCACTGTGCCTCTGGAGTCAATCAAACCAAGTAAGCACAACGATAACACCAGATCCAAGAGTGACACTGGTTGTGGTCATATATTCAGTTTTCTCTTTACGTCTCCACATCGTATCTCCTTGTGTTTTTTTCTCATTGTGTGTGTGTACACTTATATTTCAGGCAGCCTGTTGCCAGTGACTGTATTTGATAAACACAGTCTCCGGGTTTTTTTCACATTTGCCCGTGACTGTCCTCCTTCACGGCCGGACGTGCTGGTGGTGATCATCTCCATGCTGTCCTCGGCCCCCAGTCCTGTCACCAACATCCGCTTTCAGGCAGCTGTGCCCAAGGTACGTTCCTCCTGTCTGCTCATCAGACACGCACTGTAGTCAAAGATGCCATCATGTACCTGCGACTTGCTTGATTTTAAGCCTCTTAAGTTTATTTATGTGTGTGTGGATGTGCCAATGTTGCCTAGGTGATGAAAGTGAAACTGCAGCCTCCATCTAGTACTGAGCTCCCAGCCTTTAATCCCATCCTGCCTCCAGCCGCCATCACACAGATCCTGCTGCTGGCCAACCCACACAAGGTGCTCCTCTTCCTCACATAACATCATTTTATATTGGCATTTAAATTTTGTGTGTCAGCACTTCATCTTATAAATCTCTTTAAAACCCTTTACTGATCTTTTTAAAGTCAGACAGGTTTGTCAGTCTTTTGATACAAATAATCTACATGTGAAAGCACTGTTTGTTAAACCATAATGATACAGAATGCTTTTCTGTGATAAACACAGTGTAAACATAACTTTTTTTTCCATTTGATTTGCTTCATCATCGCTGGATAGTGAAACATCTGAAAGTTTGTTTCTGTTTTAGGAAAAAGTACGTTTGCGGTTCAAGCTGACATTCAACCTGGGGGACAAATCTCATGACGAATCTGGTGACGTGGACCAGTTCCCCCCTCCAAACACCTGGGGGAACCTTTAGTGAAAGAGAGAGCACACTCCTGTCATGTGACCTGCTGCTTCCTTTAGATTTAGGATGAAGTTTACCCTCATCACTAGCAGAGGCCACATGGTCTCAAATGCTCAGTAAGACAAACTGAGAAGAGACCAGTTGTGGGAGCCCGCTTCTACCTTGTGCCTTCCTTCACAGCCTTCCTGTCCTTTAGTCCATCAGCTTCATGCTCCTGTGTTTTGTTGCCTCTTTCTCTTCTTCTATAAATCAGCGCAGAGATATATGATAAATACAGCAAACTGTCCGAAACTTTGACCCCAAAAAAACTAAAAAAACAGAATGTATGTGCATCTGTCTGATTCTCAAACTACAAGTCCCATGTCATGTGAATTACATGCAACAGCTGGAGTCTGACAATTTCTTTCTCACACAACCAGACACTGAATCTGAAGCAGTTGTGTGATGCAATCCTTACTTAGGCTTTAACATGTTACATATTTTGAGTATCGTCACAAACTGTGTGTCCAGTGTTTGTTTTGAGTGTTCAGTTTGTTTTCCATCCATCAATACTGTTTCACAGCCAAACTGTCAAACTGCTGAAAGAGATTTTCAAACATGCTAACAACTTTACCGAAAGCAGCCCCCCCACCAATACATTAAAGCTTAGATAAGATAATAGTCACCTCATGGCACCTGATCAGGACTGAAATAATTTTCTTATCCATTGAAGAATGATTATTTATCTCACAGCTTCAGCACAACTTCAGTGTTTTCAAGAAGAGGTGCAACAGTGGATGGAACAGAAAATAGTATTATGCTCACCTCATTCTCATTAAAATCTCTTTTCTAAATTGTGAGAATTACATAAGGATGCATAAGGACCAAGGCCCAGCAGTCCTCTAATGAAACTACATTTAAATTCAATAGATCCAGATTTTTATTTGAATTAACACCACATTGAACACACGGAGACATTGGTCCACTTAACATGCCAGATCTTCTTTTTGTCATAGAAATCTATTAATTATTCTCTTTTCATGTCCCACCCCCCCTCCAAGTTTTGTAGAAATCTGTTAAGTAGTTTTTGCGTAATCTCTACAACCAATGGACAGGGGCAAAAACATAACCTCCTACATGGAGGTAGAAATCAATCTAAACCCCCACATTTTGAATCTTTATAGCTGTTTGGGTTGAATGGAGACAGTTCAGAATTTGAGGAAATGTATCTGTAATGCTGTAATAACTAGAAGGACCAGGAGAACTGAATTATCCACAGAGCACAGATAATGGATAGGTACGTTGTTTTTTAAGTGTAGTCTTGGTTTTAATACACGTCATTTATTTGAAAAATGTTGCGTGTCTGAGCTGTGGCTGTCTTTTTACCATGTCTCCATGTCCCAGTTAGCACCGGCAGCGGTGCAGAGTCAGCATGCACAACACCAGGACTCTGAAACTGAAGCAGCGAAATGGAATTCAGTTGTTATTCATATTATGATTTCTACCCGAGCTTCTCCTGCTGTGATGTGTCAGATTGTCTTCTGTGTAAAAGGCCCATGAAGGAAGGGCACGAAAATTTCTGCCCCTTTAAAAATGTACCTTTTTATTTCTGCACTTTTCTTTGTGATCAGTAGATTGTGGGACACTGTTTAACATCATGTTTAGCTCAGGAGCGCGATATGGAGATTATTTTCTTCTTCCTCAACATGCACTTGTTTTGTTTAAATTTTGCACATGAAATCATTCCATTTAGCACAATCTTGTTTTTTTTTTCTTTTCTCATTTGCTGCCTCTCTACTGTTGATTGATCCAAAGAGGGACATGTGAAGTCCTGAGCTGACGTCATGTGACATCCAGTTTGATTCTACCACATGTGCCTGAGATGGAACTTTTTGATTTTTGATTTACTCTGTACATATATGTAAACAAATTAATGGTTGGATCTTTGTTTCTGTGTTCATGTCCTCATCAGAAAAACACTCTTGACAAACACACAACGCATCAAACAATGTTACAGGATCATCTGATTATTCATGGGCACTGAGTTGAGCGGAACACGGGTCTATGATCACTTCTTAGATCGCAAAGAAGAAAATATGAAAAGATTGCAGGCAGAATGGTTCCACTTGAGATTCTGAAATGCACATTCAATTTTAAACGTGTGCAACTATGGTAGAGAAAATAGAACTTTGGATTTAAATATAGTGAGAGATCAACAATCTGTACACAATGCAACATCCTCTGTCCTTAACCCTCGACTAGGGGAGCAACTTTGCTGTGATATCATTTAACATTTATACTTGAAAATGCTACATGTCATATTGCAGAACACACAGTGCAGGGCCAATGTTGTAACACTACAAATCAGCCACTTGATTTGTTTACAGACCAATTTTTTTACTGTTAACTTATCAGTAACAGAAAAAGAGCAATAATGATTAGAAGAGCAGCCTCAGTGATGATCCCTCCTTCATGGTTCGATCAGATTAGTAGTGAGCGTTCATGCTCCCGGTATAATTTGAACTATGCACTAAGGAGGCTGCTACAGGTGTGGCAGGTTTACACGATCCAATTCAGTTCAGATTTACCTTTTGTCATCGCATTAAGAAGTTAAGTTAATTACAGGCTTCACTTCTTCATCCACTTAAATATCATCCTAGTAGACTAAAGTAGCTTTAATGAGGATGATGTTTAAACTGGTCCAGATGTCAACAGAGACTGTGCCTCTTGCATCTTGTCTAAAAGGTTTTGTTAAAGAGAGTGAACTGGATTTAAATACAAGTCTGATGCATTAACTGCCCCTGAGCCACATCACATCACATCAGTTGAAGCCATTAAACTTCATGTCTGGGTTTAGTTTTCAATAGGTTCATTTAAAGATGCAAATTGTTACTTCATCTTTTAACCACCCTGTTAAACCTGGCCTTATGCATGGTCTAGCATGGTGCATGCAATGCCTTAAGAATATATTGATCAGACTGGAGATATAATTGACCCCCCTGTGTAACTTATGGCCCCTTAATGGCCCCTGATTTAGAGAAACCCGAGGTCCACCCCTGAGTGGGACTCGCCAGAAAAACATGATTAACAACAAATAAAAAAAAACTCCAAACTGGATCCACATTTTTCAGTCTGACACAAAAAGACGTTAAACTCAGTGGCAGCAGCTTGGACAGTAAGTGGCAGGACTCCCATCAGGTTCTTTTCCAGCTGTGCTCCTATTGTAAATATAAGCTTCATGCCATTATGTATATTTACCAATAAAAGCGACACATGTACATACTGATGAGTAGAAACCGAGAATGTGCTACAAATGTGTGTTAATGGCAAATAAAGCCGATTATACTTCACCTGATGTACAAATAATTTGATGAACATGGATTCATTCTTTTTTTTAATTAAGAAAACATTCAAAAGTGCACAACAATAATTCTGCATCAGCTGATTTCCTTAATAAAATGATATATGAGTTAAAGAGTTACAAGTACATTTGTTTATTCTGACTTGCTGCAGGACAGGAAACAGTAAATGTATGGATTTAAATCTAAATCAAAAGAGACAGAATTGAAATTGAAATGCATGGCATCAAAACTACTGCAGAGGATTCAAACATTTGGACACTTTGCTTTAAAACAAACCAGAAAATAAATGTAAAAATGTGAATATGTCACCAGACAAAACCTGAGTCTTGCTCCAACTGCAATGATTTAGCAGAACATGAAAAAACATGACTGGAATGTGACATGATCTATTAGAAATGATTTCACCAATAGATAGCACTCATGTTCAGTGAGGCTTGTACATGCTTGTTTTCATTGTAACCAGGTCCTCATACAGCCAATGAAAGGCACAGCTGAGACTAGTGAACGATGACAAAATAATGAAATTATGAAGAGACACTTTTTTCTCCATGAATCAGCACAAGACATGGGACAGTGACACTCTAACTGAAAATGAATATTAAAGCAAAAAGGACCTACAGGAAAATATAAATTCCACATGTAGGGTTTATTAAAAAGTACAAAACATAGAAAATATAAGCCCTTACCTCAGTATAAGCCTTGTCAAATCCCTCGCTCTCGGAGTTACCAAGAGTTGGAGAGTAAAAACAAAGTTACACTGTGAACACACCAAGACGCACAAATTACCTCACTGCTTCCTCCTTTCATGATTCTACTTCCTGGGAGGTGGAGGGCCTGGAGGAGGCGGAGAGGCAAAAGGATATGGCGGCTGCCCCATGAAGCCCATTAGCGGGGGCTGTGGCAATGCAAACTGCTGCGCCATGAGGGGCTGTGGCCCCCCTGCTGGAACAGGAGGAGGGGGAGGCTGGCCAAACTGACCTTGCGGCTGACCCAACTGATCTTGACCTCCGCTGCCTCCTGATTGGGTGTTGGGACGGGAGTTGTAGCCACCGCTGCCGCTGTAACTCTGGTACTGATCTGACCCCGAGTTGTAGCTGTTCCTGCGATCACGACTTCTGTCCCTGTAGGAGGAAGAGGAGGAGGAATTGGAGCGGTCTCCATCACGGCTGCCTCGGTTATCACGGCTGAAGCCACTGCGGCCATCTTTGTTGCTGCCGCCACCTCCACCCGGGTTTATGCGGCGCTCACACTCGTCTTGGTACATTAGGTTGGGGTTGTTGGAGTTGCTGCCACGGTAACGCATTCTGCCACCTGTCAGACACAATAAATGCATGTAAATGCAATAATAGTTTTAAGATCCCTATCTAGTAAATTCTACAGTATGATTAACAAGTATATATATCTCAATTTGAAAATAATCAGTGATGGTTGTTCTTACCACCTCCACCTCCACCACGGCCTGAGTCCACAAGTTGAAGCAGTTTTGGGTTGATGGCCTGTCGGGCCTCCTCCAACACCCGCACAAGGTCTCGGGCCTGCCGCAGGTTCCCCGGGGTGAAGAAGGTGTAGGCCGTGCCCTTGTTGGTACTGCGAGCCGTACGTCCGATGCGGTGGACGTAATCCTCAGAGGAGCTTGGGTAATCGTAGTTGATGACGAACTTGACGTCTTCCACGTCTTTGGGATAAAGAATAATTGGTTTTACAGCACAGGGGGAAAGGAAAACAATAATCTCATATTCTGGATGAAGACTTGATCATGATTCAAATCCAAGAGCTGATGGGTTTTATTCTGACAAATTACAATTAATTATTTGAATTATTTACTAAAAGAAGATTGTTAAAATATTATTAAATATTATTTTATATATATACATATGTATATATATATATGTGTCAAAAATCTAAACAAATAAAGTTACTTACCTGCAAAAATCCACACATCCCAGGTTTTATTTCATTTACACACTACTTTAACTAACTTATATCATGAGCATGATATTGAAGCGTAGAGAAAACCATGTTTAGGCTTTATAACCTCCACACCAACATGATAACTGGTCAAAGTGTGTGAAGACAGTCTGTTTCTCATTACAGAAGATGTGGGGCTCTGACAGCACCGCTGATCAAAACGTCTCCCTTGTCCCCTCCATCATGACAGAGTGAAGCTGCTTCATCAACCATGTCCCACTGAGAACACTGCTGCTTTTACTAAATAATAAGCACGATGGGATGTATAGTGAGCTCATGGAGGAGTTAAATGAAAGGGGTGGTGAGGTACTTACCCCCTTTATGTCGTTTTTACAAAGGTAGTCAATCCCCCCTGATCAGTCCTGGTTCACAGGGAGGCGCTGAGGGGGAGGGAGGGGACTCATCCCTCACCTTCTACGAATGCCAGCAACGTCAGACGGGAGCAGAACCGTTTAACCCCATGACACTCACTCACTCACACATACCCACTCAAACACACAGGGCCGGTTCTGTTGCTCTCTCGCCGCATTGCAGGACCCTCCTCAGACCCTGGCCAGGACTGGATCCAGACGAGCCCGTCTAACTCTCTCTCCCCGTCTGTCTGCCTTTTTGGGACGGACCGACGGGCAGACATACAGGCACCTCAGGCTGGTCCCAAGGAAGGCTCGTTGGATTTACAAATACGGGGTAGGGGCGATCGTAGTTAGATCTTAGAGGGGCTTAAATCCCTCTGAAACTAGCCGAGCTTCTAGTTTAACGTGATTGAGGGGGGCAGTGACAGCAGCACAGACTGTTACAGCTGCCGTGTGCTGCCAAACCCTGAGAGGAGAAGAGGGGAAAAAAGAACAAGGATACGGTCATGGGAATTTTGACATGTCAAAGACAATTCACTTATTCCCCCTTCTCACATTTATCCTGCCAACAGCAGACATGTCAGACTAGCCACAGTAGCCTTCCTAATGCCTCTGTTGTTGTCCTGCACATATGCATCTACAAAACATAAAAAAATCTATCCTTAGGCAGAATAATATCTGTGGAGCAACTACACAATCTATTTGTGAAGAAACGAGTAATATCAGCAACATCATCGGTTAATACTGAGACCATAAAGGAGACATGAGAAAAGATGTGCAGAAGCGTCTGCCCCACACACCCCTCCTTTCAGGCAGCGTGCCAAAGAGCCCCGGGTGGAGGAAGCTTTTTAACTGCGGTAACAAGAAACAGACTATAAACCAAGTGGACCAGAGGGTCTGCAGCCTCCACACTAGAGGTCACAGTCCATCAAACTGTCAAGTTATAATAATGAGGGGAATCTTTCCACGAAATATGCTGTACATCACGAAATTCTAACTGCTTGTGTTTTCTGTGTATTTTCTCACATTTGATCAACATAATTACTACATATTTTATCCCCCCATAAATTTTGGAAAGTTCAGTGTGAGATGTTCTTCATCAGCTTCATCACCTGAAAGTAATCCAGCAAAGAAAATTCCACACGATATACATGTTTTTCAATTTGTGGTTTGATTTCTATTGTATTTGCAATCTCTATAGACTGATCAGCTGCTACATTAAAATAGGTTTTAATGTTGTGGTAGACTGACGTATATCCATGGCTTCATCTGTAATGTGATTTTCAATCCATGGTTTTACAGATCAGCCACAACATTAAAACTAGTTGCCAGTTTTAATGTTGTTTCTGATCTTTGCATATGAAGCAATAATAGGCTGCTGTCAATGGCTGTTACAACTGCTATATTATTCTGTAATATACTTACCCTCTGTCAAAAATAAATCAGCTTAAAAGATGTACAGTTGTAATCGAACCTGTGTAATTCTATTATGTGTAATTCATTATTATTCATTAAAAAACAAAGAAAGAAGAGTATCATGTGGGATTATGCAGCATTAAAATGTACGTAAGAGGAGACGTACCCAGACCACGAGAGGCAACATCAGTAGCGATCAGTATGGGAGCTTTTCCACTACGAAATTCTGTGGAATTAAACAAAATAATGATTTGAATATTAGCAAAAAAGACTAAACTAAAGAGCAAGATGCACATTGTTATCATTCTCCCATCAGACCTCTCAGGTCTGAAGACAGTGGCCTCTCAGTGCCTTTAGTTACCGTGGACCTGTACCTCTTGAA